CGGGGCCGCCGCCGCTGTCCGCGGTGCTGAAGTGGCCACCCGGGCCCTGCTCCGGGGCCGCAGGAGCCGCTCGTCCCGGCACCACCTACTCCGGGGCCGAGCCCAGCCGAGCCAAAGCGAGCCCAGCCGAGCCAAAGCGAGCCCTGTCGTACCGAGTCGAGACGGTCCGGTCCGGTCCGGTCCGTGCCCCGTCCCGCTGCAGCTCTGGCGCAGCCCCGGTGCAGGGCCGCTGTCTGCTGCGGGCGAGGGGCCGCTCGGCCCCACAACAGCCCCGTCACTGCTGGCACTTGGGCCTGACCCACACCGCCGAGCTGTGTGAGGGTCCCCGTTCCCCCCGGGGCCGCGTCCAGCACCAGGCAGCCGGGCAGCACAGGCCCTGTTCTTGTGGGTGTTCCTGCCGGGCACAGKGATGGGCTGCAGCCAGGGTTTTGCAGTGTGTGTCCAGGAGGACTTGCACTGCCCCTCTGACCCTCTCAGACCCCGCYAAGTCCCCTCTCGAGGTCCCCTTGTAGGGTGTGCCAAAGCCCCAGCCGGGAGCACATGGCTGGCTATGGGAGTGGTTGTGGGGCTCTCAGACGCCCACAGTGGGGCTCTGGGCACAGTCACAGACAGGCTCTGTGTATTCCTCTGCTCTGCCGACCCCAGTCTGTTTATTTGCTTGTTTATTTGTGGCTCCGCTCAAGGTCAGGGCTGGCAGGAGACTTCTGGGGGCACCTTGCCGGGCTGGGGTTGTCGCACTGGTCCCTGACCGTGCCCTTCCCTGGGCACTTGCCCTCCCCTTGCCCTCTGCAGCACCAGGATCTCTCCCATTCACCGATTTCCATCGCGGCAGTGCCGGCGGCTTGACAGCAGGCGGTTCTGCCATGCTGGGGTCTGGCAGGAGGGCTGGACACGGTGCCACTACAGATGGACCGGGCAGACTGTCCCTGGAGCTGAGCCTGGCGAGATGGTGCCCTGTGGGACGGTGGGTGAAGGGCTGCAGGAAGCAGGGGTCTGGGGGGCTTGGGAGAGCAGGGATTGTCTGTAGGAAGGGGCTCAGCAGGGCTTCCTGCACCCGTGACAAGGGTGGTTGTGGTGGGGGGGTTGTCCCCCTGTACCAAGGGTCAGCTGAACTYCCATCACGAGCACTGGCTGGTCTTCAGGGACCATGGAGAGCCTGGGGGGTGGCAAAGCTTTTGCATGCTCCCTCTGCATGTCCTGGCTGCTCCAGTGCTGGCTGTCCAGCAACTTGCCAAGCCCAGCAAAACCTCTGAAGCCCTGGGGGCCACTTAGGCCATATTTGTCAGAAAGGCCAGCAGTGTCCCCACTCTGGTTCTGCTCTGGGCAGCATGTGTGAGCCGCATGACAAGGGCTGGAAAGGCTCCAGCCCAAACAGCCCAACAAGGGCTGGACGGGCGCAGACCCTCTGGGGAGATGGTGGGATCGGGGAGCAGGCAGGGCTGCTGCCTGCAGTGTCCAGTGCAGCTTGCACTGCTCTGGTTGGGGTGTTGGGATGTCAGCCGCAGCCCCACTGCAGGGTGCCATGCCGGCACCCAGCTCGGGGGCACCAGGATGCCTGGGAAGGGCAGAGTCAGGGTCAGGAGCTTTGGCGGAACTTGTGTCCACAGCCATTTCCACGGCAGGGCTTGGACTGTCGGAGAATCTGGGAAGCTGTTTAAATGCAGCCAGCCAAAACGCCTGTGCTGGAAATCCTGCGCTGCAGGGCCGGCTGATCAAAGGGAGGATAATCCCGGGTTTAGGAAGGAAGAGGATAGGTCTGAAGTAGCAGTTGGTCCAATTTGGGTCAGGYTGTGAAGGAATCCAGCCCAAAAGGCCACTGGGTGTGCTTGCTGGCTGGAGGAGGAAAGTGCAGCCCTGGATGGGGGGAGCATCCCACTCCATCATCCCACCCCCAACCACCACCCCCCATTCCCTTGCCACGCTGCAGCCGGAGCTGTSTCTGCTGTGACACTGTCAGCACGAGCCAGCGCTGCTTTGATCACCAGTGATCTCTGCCTCGGTGGGGCTGCAAGGGCTGTGTGGTCTCTCCAAGGGTCACCCTCCCCACGGCAGCTGTCAGGCACCCTTGCGCAGGGTAGAAAGAATCTGGGTGGGTGCAGAGATGTCGCTGCCATAAGAACACCTTGGCCATCCCCAGCTGCCTTAGGCACCCCAGGCCAACAGCCCKGGGCCAGGCAGTGGGTGTACAGCCAAGTCCCCTTGATAGCCGATGGTGACAGAACAGCAGCGTGGCCTCCCTGCAAAACAGCAGCACTGGGGACATCAGCCAGGGCCACGTGCTTGCCCATGTGCTCGCTGGGCTGCTGGGGTCACCCTGGGGTGCCCCTTGCCGCAGGCAGARCCCTGGGAGTCCAGGTGTCCTGTGGCAAAAGTCAAGGTGTCCTGTGTGCCTCCAGAGGAGCCCCAGGGCATCCCTATTGCCGTGAGCAGCCATGGCACTGCTGCTGCCCCTGGGGCTGGAGCACCGGACTGGGGGGAGGCACAGGGGATTCCGGAGCTGTCGGCAGCCCTGTGCAGGAGCACAGACGGCGGCGTAGACGGCTGTGAGGTCGGGCTATCCCCGTCACGTCCCTCACCCACTGCACCTCCCGGCCGGTGCTGCAGCCCCAATGCCCGATGTCCCCGACTGGGGCTCACCGKGCTCTGGATGCTGCGGAGGGGACGGGCCGGCCGTGGTTTGGCAGGACCAGGTAGCAACGCCGGCAGCAGCTCTGGTTAATTAGCCCGTGGGGGGTGACTGCTGGGGCTCCCCCAGCCAGTGCTCGGTGCCCTGCGCCTTGTAAAGCGATTAGGGAGGATTTGGGATAAGGGACATGACGCTTCCCAACCCAATTTAGGGCTAAGTAAAAAGCCATTAGAAGATCAAATTGTGGCTGGTGCTTTTGCCTGAGCGCTGCCCTGGGGGAGTCCGGGGGTGCAGTGGCTGTCCTTCGGCGCTGTCGGGCTGGCTATGGCTGCCCCGGGCGGGAAGATTGGTGGAAGTCCTGCCGAGAGTGGGGCTGCGCGGTGCCCACGGCGGGGCTGCGGGTTTCTGCCAGCGATCCCGCCGCCAGCCCTTCCAGCCGCCGCAGCAAATTAAAAGGCCGATTCATGTTGAGTGATCCCTGGGGAGGGGGGCGGCTGAGCTCCGGGATCGAAGCCTGGCACGGCTCGGCTCTGCTCYGCTCACACCGTCTCTCCCGGCTGGGCTGCTGGCCTTGGTGCTGCCAGCCCCGTCCAGCGCTCCGGCGCTGCGCTGCTCTGTCCTGGCAGCGCTGGGGGAGCGGGCCAGGAGCAGGCCCGTGGGCGCTGGTGGCACTGGCAGTGTCGCACGCGTCCCCAGGGCCGGGAGGCAGCGCCCCATTTGTGCCGCCGGGCAGGGCTGGCCGCGGCGGTGGCAGGTGAGGGACGGGTGCGTTGCCCCTGCCTGCCCCTGCCTTCAGACCACGGGTCCGTGGCAGCTCCCGAGGAGAGGCTGCACCAGCCCCGCTGCGGCAAAATGGTCTCCGGCAGGAGCAGGAGCAGAGGCAGGAGCGCTTTGTCACCTGGGACCCTGCGYCCCGGTGCTTAACTCCTTCCAGTCTGTGTGGCTGGKAGCCTGAGGGTCTCCCCGTACCGCGCTGCATCCTCATGCTCAGCAGCCCGGGGCCKCTCCCAGTGCCGGTCCTCACAGCAGCATCACCGGGCGAGGGGCTCTCCTGTGCCACGGGCCAGCCCCAGCAGCCTGGGTGATGTCAGCACGGGCCGTGGCCGCAGCGTGRGGAGCGTTGGCCAGAGGTGGGGGTGGAGGGACTGCGAGCTGTGGGTGCTGTTGTGGTGCCATGGGTTGGAGCGCGGGCACCCCGGGGTGYTGCTGGCGCCTGTCGTGCGGAGCCGAGCAGGGCCAGTCCCGTGGGGTGGCGGTGGGCTGGGGCCGGGGGTCCGGCTGCACCATCCGTCAGGCGTCGGGGGGCCGGGGCGCGGGTGCCATGCGGGGCCAGCGTCCGGCTGCCTGTGCCGTTACATAAGAGCGGGAGCCGAGGCGGCCGTGGCTCGCCGTTGCCATGGAAACCTGCACGGTGATGTCGTCGGCTGGGTACCAGGCGGTGAGGCGAGGCCCCCGCGGGCTCCGTTCTCCCGGAGGGGTCCCAGAGCCTTGCCGCGTTTCAAGCACATCTCCCTGCCAAGCTGCCCGTGCCCCCCGGTGACACCCAGCCCCAAGGGGGTGGTGGGCTCCAGTCACCCCTCCTCCTGTACCCTCGTGTCGCCACACTGGGGATGGCCACAGCATTAGCCTGGAGGGTGTSCTATTGGTGTGCTTTCATATCAGTGTGGTCCCCATAACTGGTGCAGGTGGACAAGAGCTGTGGCGAGTGGGTGGGTGCAWTCCCACACCATTGCTGTTACCTAATGGGAGCTGGGTTAATTGGGTCTTTAGACCAAACAGAGGGCAAGAAGTACTTGAGGTCTATGCAGAGACCCTTTATGGGAGATACAGGGCAGGGCACATGCCAGTGGTGCAGCCTGGGGTGCTGGGTGTGTGTCCGAGGGGACTCCAGAGAGACGCTCGTGGGACCTGTGGGTCAGGGTGTCCCGGTGCCACTGCCATGGCCACTTCTGCACAGGAGGAGCTTGCAGGCTGTGCCTTGGGGTTTGGCTGTACCCTTAGGGATGCTGCTGCCCTGCTGGACCAYGCTGGAGGGGCCAGCCCTCAGGTCAGTGTCACCTGTGGCACTTGGGGCTTCAGCTCCTGGTCAGCCAGGAGTGCCATGTCTGCCAGGGAATTGCAGATGGTGAATCACTGTTGCATGCGAGCTTCCAGGTTCCCAAATATGAGTCAACTGGCAGGAGTGTGGTGGTCTGCAAAGGATCAGGATGCTCCAAACTGTCGCAGGGTCTGTCTTTGGGCTGCCACCATGAGTGCATCTCTGCACTGCTGGGGCACCATCCCACTGCCCCGGGGCTCTCATTTGCTCCATGTTGAAGGATGGTGGAAGGGACAGTTCTCTCCCTGGCCCCAAAATGTGGAGCTGGTCTGTGACCCTGCCCATGTGGGCAGCCTGCCCAGCGGTGCGGTGGCCACTGGCAGTGTGACGGCTCTGACTGCAGGGCTGTGGCAGTGGGATGGGTGTGTGGCAGGGAGCCTCTCCCCGCACCAAGGGCTGGGGACCAGCCTGGCTGCACAGGGTTCCTCATGCCATGGGTGCCATTGCCCCCTCAGCTGTTCTGCCCAGCACTATGTCCTTTGGCTCCTGGTCCCCACGCCCCAGTCCCCCTGTGCTCTGGGCCTTGTCTTGGAGCTGTGCTGTTCCAGCAGCACCATCCTCACTGCTGTTCCATTTCCAGCTTGATTTATTTCTGCTGCTCTGCAGCTCAACTGTTTTCGTCACTATTAAGCCAACTCCAGGTTTCTTCTGCACTAGGTCATTAATGCAGTGAGTGGCCAYGGCTCCCATCCTGGCAGCTCTGTGGGCCCTGCTCTGCTATGGGTGGCTCCACTGCCCTGGGCACCACCTGCCCTCGGTGGTGGCACCTCCGGATGCCTCCCCACCCTGTGGCCCCCCTTTCTATGGTGCGTGTCTGGGAGCAGGACCAGACACCTGGCCACTSTCCCCACTCCCAGGCACTGTGCCGGGACCATCCCCTCTGTGCTGGCACTGAGCAGCCGTCAGATCGTGCCCCTGCAGACGCAGCGCTGCGGGCAGTCCCAGTGCGCTCAGCCGCGGGCACCCCGTGCCGTGAGTTATTGCTGCCGGCYGTCCCGCCCGAGGGTTCCCCCATCCACTGGCTCGCCTCACTGCGTGGATGCGCTCYGGCGGCTCCGCGCGTCAGCACGGCCGGGCAGGGCAGCGTGTGGCTCTGGGGGACCGCGGCCCCTGCCCGTGGGTGGTGTGGGAGGAGATGCTGGTGGCTGGGGTGCTGTCCCTGTGCAGGGACTGGGTGTGAGAACGGTGCCCACAGGCTTGGCAGCTCTCCTGCAGGAGCCATGGGCAGCAGAGACCCCTCACAGGGGTGACCGTGTGGGGTGGACGTGCTGCACGTGTGGGCGGGGCAGGGGCTGCCTAACTGACCCAGGGGTGTCTCCACAGGCGATGGCAATCCCAAGGAGAGCAGCCCCTTCATCAACAGCACGGACCTGGAGAAGGGCAAGGAGTACGATGGCAAGAACATGGCCCTCTTCGAGGTAGGGCATGAAGGCAGTGGGGCAGCGGGAGGGGGCCAAGCTGGGCACCTGTCCATAGTCCCTGAGCTGCACCCTGGGCACTGGGACATGCCAGAGCCCCAGGCCAAGGTTGCCACACTGCCAAAGCCATTTCAGGAGGGGCAGGCAGTGGGGTGTCATCTGGTGAGGTCTCCTGGGCTTGGCTGGTGTCCYAAGGGACTGTCCTCATGACTCGGGCTCTGGTCTCCACAGGAGGAGATGGACACGAGCCCTATGGTCTCATCCCTGCTGAGTGGACTGGCCAATTACACCAACCTGCCACAGGGCAGCCGGGAGCACGAGGAGGCTGAGAACAATGATGGAGGCAAGAAGAAGCCGGTGCAGGTGAGGACTTAGGAGGGAGGTAACCCTCCCTCTCTCTCCAGCCCTTGCCTGTGCAGTGCTGGGCCACAGACTGCCCTGGGAACAGGGGACCTCTTGGCCTCAAGCAGGGGCAGTTTCACCCTGGGTCCCAGGCTGCTTTGCAGGAAGAGTGAGACCTCTTGCTCCTCTGCCAGCCAGACTCCTGAGCCCTGATGACTGCTCTTYCCTCAACAGGCCCCACGGATGGGCACCTTCATGGGTGTCTACCTGCCCTGCCTCCAGAACATCTTCGGGGTCATCCTCTTCCTGCGTCTCACCTGGGTGGTGGGGATTGCTGGCATCATGGAGTCATTCTGCATGGTCTTCCTCTGCTGCTCCTGCGTGAGTTTTGGAACCAGATGACCCTTCACTGGCCTTGCCCATGGCCTGGGGTCACCCATCTGGCTGGCTGGACTGTGGAGAGATGCATTTGCTGCCAGCCCACCATGCCCCGCTCTGCTCCTGCCCCAGCTTCTGCCCCTGCCCTAGCTCCTGCCCCACTTAGAGCAAGGAGAAGCCTTCAGCTTCCCAGAGGAATCAACAGCGCTCGAATGGTGACCCAGAATTACAGCTGCCATGTGGGGGATGTGCCGGGGGTCCCCTGCTCTGGCATCAAGCCGTGCTGCAGTGAGCCACCTCACCAGGACAGTCACTCCAGGGCAGAGGCGGGGGAGGTTGGCCTTGCCCAGTATCCTGGGCCACCTGGGCCCCCTCCCAGCGCTGCCAGCCCCTCCAAGGGACTCAGCCCTCTTAGCTCTGCTGCCAGCAAACAGCCCTGCCTGCCAACCCATAATCCATCCATCCATCCATCCACCCATCCATCCATCCATCCATCCATCCATCCATCCATCCATCCATCCATCCATCCATCCATCCATCCATCCATCCTCCCTGGGCATCCCTGCCCTGTGGCACATCTCAGTGTGGCCCCAGGGAGCCCATGTCCTAGCATGCCCCCATCTCTCCCTTCCACTCCCCTGTCCCTCTGCCCAGCTCTGCCGGCTGCCCACACTGTGTTTCTTCCCGCAGACGATGCTGACGGCCATTTCCATGAGCGCCATCGCCACCAACGGTGTGGTGCCAGGTAGGGTCAAWCCCACGTCCACGCTTGTGCCGCGTGTTCGGGCAGCTGGGTGGGGTGGGGTGCCCGCAGGGGCTTTTCCCAAAGAGCATCCCCCGGGGCCGCCAGCCGCTCCCCAGCCTTCTGCCACCAGCCCGCGCGGGATCCCCACGGCCCGGGGGAGCGCAGCGCTGGAGCCGCCACCCGTCCCCAGAGCCGCGAGGTGCAGATGGCAGCGAGAGCCGCCAGCAGCGGCTCCTCCCTCCGACAGACTGGCGAGGCCGCGGGGAGCCGGGAGACACCCGGCAGGAGGATGGGAGCAGGGAGTGCTGAGTGCCACGGGCTGGGCGCTGGGGTGGGCTCTCCACYGCCGGACACACGGACACTGCCGTGTGTGGGCTCTGCCCCCCGGGCGGCACGGTGGGGTCTGGCCGGGGGGTGCCCTGGCTGCCTCCCCGAGAACACACCAGCCTTGCAGAACCCTGGGGAGCCGTGAGCTGCGCCAGGCTGGGCACGGCACTGACAGCCCAACGCGGGCTGTAATTAAAGCTATTTATCATCCTGCTGCCGCAGCGGGACCATCGATCCTGGCAGCCCAGCTCTAAGGGCTCCTCTGGGAGGATGGAACAGGGCATGGCCCAGGTCCCTGRGGCTCCAGGTCCTGTCTGGTGTCCAGGGAACGCCTGTGCCCATGGCCATTGCACCTGGCTGCTGGGCTCCTGGGGAATGACTCTGCCACTTGGTCACTCCCGCTGCTCTGATGCCCTCGGGACTGCATCTTGCAGTGCTGGGGAGGGGCCCATGGCTACCCTGGCTCCAGTCTGCCCGCTGGGATAGGTGGAGGGTGTCACTGGGGTCTGGCTTGGACCCACTTTTTCTCTCTCTGACAGCCGGTGGCTCCTACTACATGATCTCACGCTCCCTGGGACCTGAGTTTGGTGGGGCTGTGGGGCTCTGTTTCTACCTGGGCACCACCTTTGCCGGTGCCATGTACATCCTGGGTACCATCGAAATCCTGCTGGTAGGTAGTCTTTCCTTGTGCAGTGCCAAGGGCTCAGCTCCTGGCAGGGCAGGGGGCCTCAGGGACCCTTCCTGGGCATCCCCTCTTCAGGCTGTTAGCCAGGTGGTGATACTATGACTCTTTGCCAGGCCTACATCTTCCCAGCCATGGCCATCTTCAAGGCTGAGGATGCCAGCGGGGAGGCGGCTGCAATGCTCAACAACATGCGTGTGTATGGCACCTGTGTGCTGACCTGCATGGCCACCGTTGTGTTTGTGGGTGTCAAGTATGTCAACAAGTTTGCCCTGGTCTTCCTGGGCTGTGTCATCCTCTCCATCCTCGCCATCTATGCCGGTGTCATAAAATCGGCCTTCGACCCACCAAGCTTCCCGTGAGTGTGGGGTCCTCCAGGGCTGCACCGGGGTCGGGGCATGCAGGCGCATGGCTGAGTGTCTGTGTCCCCCCAGGATCTGCCTCCTGGGCAACAGGACCCTCTCACGCCACGGCTTTGACCTCTGCACCAAGATGGTGGTGGAGGGGAACGAGACAGTTGGCTCCAAGCTCTGGGAGCTTTTCTGCACCTCCCGCTTCCTCAATGCCACCTGTGATGAGTATTTCACCATGAACAATGTCACTGAGATCGAGGGCATCCCTGGTGCTGCCAGCGGCCTCATCCAAGGTGAGCACATGCGGACAGAGGCACGGGAAAATGGGCATGGGCATGAAGGCATGGGAATGGAAGCATGGAGAAGAAGTGCAGGGGAGCTGTGGTGGGGCAGTGCTGGGTGTGGCTGAGAGGGCATGTGGGTGTTCCTTGCTGGGGCCCACGCTGTGCCAGGCAGAGGGACAGCCTCCTGCACYGGGTGACAGAGCAGGGCACTGCAGCCACCTGCACGCAGTCTGTGTCAGCCAGAGGGGTGGCTCAGAATGATGCCCAGAGGCTGGGGAGACATAAATCCTCCCTCTGCTTCCTCTTGGCYTTTGGAAAAGCTGGTATTGATCTGAGGTTTTCAGAGAAGTGATCACCCCTCGGGGCCACTCTGATGCTGTGGCTACRGCTGTGCTGGGAGGGAGAGTGGCCAGGACCGCAGAAAGATGCGTGAATTTGCTGGGAGGAGCCACTTATGACCTGTTTTCCGGGAGATGCTGGTACATCTGCCAGGTGCTCACGCTCAGCAGTGGGTGGCAGAGGCTGATGCTCTGTGCCACATTCAGAGGGTGTGTGCAGACCCCCATGCTGGAGTGGTTGTCAGGACTCAGGAGAGCGGCAGAGCCACGAGCAGGATCAGTCCTTCCTGACGGCTGTGGGGCTGCCCCAGCCACCCTGCCATGGATTCTGTGTGGACACAGGAATGTGAGCTCAGACTTGGCTAAGCACGTGGTGCTCAGGGCTGCAGCTGTGACCGTGGTTAGTGGAGCGCATTCGCACGGTGTCTGGGAGCCTCCTGATGGAGTCTCACTCTGAGGTCTTTCGGGTCAGATGAGGAGTTTCTGGCTGCTGGGTGAAACCTGCTCCTGCTGGCCGTGGTGCTGCTGGGGAGGGGGGACAGTCCCCCACCTACTCAGCTGGTCTCTCTTAGGGCTACAGGCAGCAAACACTCCCGCATTGGGGGCATCAGGACAGAGCCAGGACCCCACTCTGGGGTGGCTGGTGGGGAGGGCAACCAGGCCAGCATCATCTTGAGATGGGTGGCACAGTTTGGCCCTGTCAGAGATGACTGGGGATTGCTGTGCCCCAAGTGAGGGGTCTCCCTCTGAGGAGGAACACACGTTTCTGGGAGGATGAGACAGACGAGGTCAATAGGGGTTGCCAGCCCCATCTGTCACCTGAGAGCAGCCAGAACTGCTGTGGCTCATTGTGGGGGCTGAGGGCTGGTCCCTGTGCGTCCCCTTGCCCCTCTCAGCAGCCCCCTGGCAATGACATGCCGAGGGCAGTTGCCTTTGCCTGCCCTGCCCGGTGCTGGCTGCTCTCCACTGCTCCAGTTTCTCCCTGCGATCTGCGGCCAAGGCAGCACGCGGAGGGACACTAAGCCTGTTACATCAGCCCCGCACTCGTAATCCCATCAAAAACATTATCAAGTTACTTTGACACGATCCACTTCCCTTAAACCTGTGTTGATCAGCATTAATTATATTACCCTCTTAATTATTTGCTACTGCAATCCCATGTCAGCTGCTCCAGTATCTGGTGGGGACGCTGCCAGCAGCAGCACAGACCTGCTCTGGTTGCCCACCTGTGCTGYCAGGCCAGTCCCTCACCCTCTGGATGCCCGTGGTCCCGTCTGCTGGCAGTGCCGGCTGCTCAGTGAGGCCGGGGAAGGGGAGGCAGAACAAGACAGCCCCCAGCTCCATCCCTGTGGGGTGGGAATGCTGTGCTGAGTATGGGGGCTTGTGGGCATCACRTGCCGGCAGCACTGCCCGGCCTCTCGTCTCCTCACAGAGAACCTCTGGAGCTCATACCTGACCAAGGGCGTAATCGTGGAGAAGCGGGGGCTGCCCTCAGTGAGCTCCCCCGACACCCCAGTGGATATGGACCAGCCCTACGTCTTCAGCGACATGACGTCCTACTTCACCCTGCTCGTCGGCATCTACTTCCCCTCAGTCACAGGTGGGAGTCGCCGGCGGCTGGGCTCCGTGCCGCGGGCACTCGGGACACGTGCTCCGCGGGGCCCCACGTGTGCCACCCCCGCCCGCGGTGGGTGCGGCGGTGACAGCGGCGGCGCGGGGGTGGCTGGTCGCCATCGCCTCCCCCGCAGCCGCCCGCGCTCCAGATCTGACGGTGCCGCCCGGTGCRCGCTGACGTCCCGCCGCTTGGGTATTTTTAGCTCCCCGGGGGCAGAGGAGCCCCCCCGCCCCAGTGCCGCTGCGGAGCCGACGGGGCGCAGCCGCCGGGGCTCCCCTGCAGCTCCGCCGCGGCCAGGGCCGGCGAGACCCCCCTGGGCTGCCCCGGGCATGGCGAGCGACGGAGGGTCCGGCGCTGTGGGGTCCCTGGCGGTCGCTCAGCCTCTGCTGCMCGTCCTCCCGCTGCCCATTCACCAGCAGGTCCCGGTTTCTGCAGGACGCCTGTCCCCCGCTGCCGCGGGTTGTGGGGTCCTGCCCTGGCTGCTGCTGCTGCGGCCGGAGCACGGGTCATCCCTTGGGCTGGAGGGATGTTGGACCCGCCGGTGCAGGCGTGGCCGTGTCCCTGCGTGACCTCCTGCCCTCCCAGAGCAGAGTCGGGGCTGGACCCTGTCGCTGCCCCTGCGGCAGTCACCGTCCCTGCTTGAGCTCATTAAGGGCTAATGAGACAAGGCACTTGAGAGCTTTTGAGCCTAATCCTTAAGTGGCCTCAGACTGTGGTTTGGGGTAGGGGGGKAAGTACTGGGGGGATGAGAAGAGCAGGCCGGGGGCCCCAAGCGCCTTTTCCACAGCTCATCATGTCTGCTCCCCATCCTGGCATACACCGAGTATGGCCTGATGTGCCCAGGGCTCATGTGGTGCCTGGCATGAGGGCATCTGGGACAGCTATTGGGCTGTAGCTCTGCTCCTCTGACACTGTCCCATCTTTCCCCAGGCATCATGGCTGGCTCCAACCGCTCTGGAGACCTGCGAGATGCCCAGAAGTCSATCCCCACGGGCACCATCCTGGCCATTGCCACCACCTCTGCAGTCTGTATCCTTCAYGCCTTGCCCRAGCCTGGGCTGTGGGGCTGAGGAYGGGTGGGCTAACTCTGCAGGGCTGATCTGGTCAGGTGCTCTGCTGGGCTGGGACATGGGCCCGGCACCCCACTGGCTGGGTAGGCAGGACTCTGCATCCTCCTGGTTTCTCCTTGACCACCTGGCAGATATCAGCTCCGTTGTCCTCTTTGGAGCATGCATYGAGGGGGTCGTCCTGCGTGACAAGTGAGTGTCCCAAGGCCATAGGGGGCAATGGGGAGAGTCTGGCATCCCCTGGAACCARCTGGGGCAGAGGCAGCCCCAGGGGTGGGCAGAGGTGTGGGGGAGGCTGTAACCAGGACACACTGGGCAGACATGGTGGCATTGGAGGGTGTGTGGGTGTCAACGGGCAAGGGGGCTGGAGCTTGTAACAGACACTGGGGGCAYGTGTGAACCCCAATCATCCATGTTTTGCTGCATTCCTCCTGCTCTGGGGCTGCAGGCAGCCACTTGTTTGTCAACAAGCAGGGCTGCCTGTGCTCTTGCCTATCTGGGGCAGCCCCRTTCACCGCATGCGGCAGGTGACACTTCTGGGTCGCCAGCACCAACACAAACAGGATCCAACTGCATGCATCATCATCAGCCCCCCTGGCACGGGGACAGGGAGTCCTGTCCCACACCTCCCTTTGTCCTTGGCCACACTTACGCATACAGGGATGAGGACAGACCCCTGGCAACCTCTGACCCTGCTCCCATGTTCACCCCTTGGAGGGGTGGGCCCTTCTCYGGTGTGTCACATCCCCTCAAGGTGGTGTCATTGTCGGGGGCTGGGTTGTGGCACGGTGGTGCTGGTGATTTCGGGGCTCAGTCATGGGATGSAACCACAGGTGATGCTGATGCCCTGCAGGTTTGGTGAGGCTGTCAATGGGAACCTGGTGGTTGGCACCCTGGCGTGGCCGTCCCCRTGGGTCATTGTCATCGGCTCGTTCTTCTCCACCTGTGGGGCTGGGTTGCAGAGTCTCACCGGAGCTCCCCGCCTCCTGCAAGCCATCTCCAGGGATGGGATCGTACCCTTCCTCAGRGTAGGTATCCCCTGAGTGCGGTGCTGCCCACACTGAGTGCCTGCTGTGGCTGACSATCCCACCAGCACGAGGGACCGGTGGGGACCCCGCTGCCTCCTCCCGGCACCGTCGCTGCCGGAGCAGCGCCGCTTCCCTGCCCTCATCCCGCCGGCCCCGGTGGGTGGCCGTGGTGGCGGGCGGCCGTGGCGGCTCTGGCTGCGGTATCRGTGGGAGGAGAGTGTCGGGAAAGGTCAGGATCCCCTCCCCCCCGCTGCCGTGCCGCTTCATATTTTATCTGCTCTCTGAAGACGCGTTCCCACAACCTCATCTCTCCAAATCCAACCCGACAGCTCCCCCCAGGGAAGAGCGGGCTAATTTTATCCTCCCTCCTTCTCCTTGCCAGCCCCAGCCGAGCTCTCGCTTGCGCCGCCCGCACCCTCTAATGCGTCCGGACACGCGCCCCYGGCCCCGGCCCCGTCCCCGCCCCACCCCGCGTTCCCTTGTCTCCTTCCACAGTATCTAATGGCTTAGTTTGGGCAGTCCCCACTCTCCCTGGGCACCGTGTCCATCCCAGGCACAGGGTGCCCGACCCTGCACTGGCTGCGACCAGGCTGTGAGCCTGGTGGGTGTACATGGGTACAGGGGCTGCTGTGCTGGGTGTRGGGAGAGCCACGGGATCTGCCGGGAACGGGACTGTACTGTCAGCAGGAGCCCGTCCTGCCAGCGCTGGGACTGCTGCCCTGGCAGGATCCAGCATGGGACATGTGCCAGCTCATGGCACCCAGTGCTCCCAGGCCCTGACCCGCCACGGCTGGGTATATGGGAGGGTCCAACCTCATCAGGCTGCACTGAGTACCCTTGCCCAGGGCTACAGGGCACTGCAGAGCCTGATGCACCCCTCTCCCCCTGCTTCCAGGTCTTCGGCCATGGCAAAGCCAATGGGGAGCCGACATGGGCCCTGCTGCTCACAGCCTGCATCTGCGAGATCGGGATCCTGATCGCCTCCCTGGACGAGGTGGCTCCCATCCTCTCCATGTAGGCAGCGTGCTGTCCACCCGCACCTTCACAAGCAGCGGGTGGCACGTGTGGGTCTCTGCTCCTCAGGGTGGGGGGATGCACCTGTTGCCCTGGCCCTTGTCTGGGAAGAGGGGGGCCCTGCAGGTACACCAGTGTCCCATCTTGGCCAGCATTGAGGCTTGGTTWTTTTGCAGCACTGCTTCTCTGTCCATCAGTGGGGCTTGCTGCAGCATTGGCCTGGGGTCAGGAGGTGTGGAGACCCCAGTCCCTCACAGTGCAYCCACTCAGCCCCATACTCTCTCCTGCAGGTTCTTCCTCATGTGCTACATGTTTGTCAACCTGGCCTGTGCAGTGCAGACGCTGCTGCGGACGCCCAAYTGGCGGCCCCGCTTCCGATACTATCACTGGTGAGCTGGATGGGATGGGGACAGGGACCCCCCCAGGACACCCCAGTGTGGGATCCCAGGGCATGCTGACAGCACTGTGCTCTCTGCAGGACCCTGTCCTTCCTTGGCATGAGCCTCTGCCTGGCGCTGATGTTCATCTGCTCCTGGTACTACGCACTGGTGGCCATGCTGATCGCTGGCCTCATCTACAAATACATCGAATACCGCGGGTAAGGATGACCATGGCATTGCAGGTCCTGGCCAGCCCCCCATGGCCATACAGCCTCTCAATGTGGCTGCTTAGCTCCCCAGGGCTTCTTGTCCAGGACACCCCGGGCTATCAGTGTGKTGTTCTGTGGCCAGAGCCACGGGCATCCCTCATGTGCTGCTGGTTTCTGCAGGGCGGAGAAGGARTGGGGTGATGGGATCCGGGGCCTGTCCCTGAGCGCAGCCCGCTATGCCCTGCTGCGGTTGGAGGAAGGGCCACCACACACCAAGAACTGGAGGTAAGGCTGGGCAGGGAGATGGGGATCTGAGGGTGCTTGGGCAGGGACCAGCTGGGTGCGGGCACTGACTGCAGGACTCTCTTTCCAGGCCGCAGCTGCTGGTCCTGGTCCGCGGGGACCAGGAGCAGAATGTGGTGCACCCGCAGCTCCTGTCCTTCACGTCACAGCTCAAGGCTGGCAAAGGCCTCACTATTGTGGCCTCTGTGTTAGAAGGGACCTTCCTGGACAACCACCCACAGGCGCAGAGGGCCGAGGAGGTGAGAGCTGTTTGCAGCAGGACGGGCTGTGCCAGCAGCAGGTCCTCCTGGTCCCCAGGTGTCCAGGGTTGTTTCTGTCCTGTGGCCAGGACTGGTGGCTTGGACGGCCTGGAGAGCCTTGGATTGGCATCAGGCATAGCCTGAGRACTCCATGTTTCACTGGTGACACCAGAGGGGCTGGCACCAGCCAAACACTGGTCCCAGTCTTGGCCAAATGCTGCAGGACTTGGTATAGCATGGGACATCACAACACAGCATGGGGCCCAGCCAGGGGCTGCTGTGCTGCTGGGTTGAGCAGATCCCACAGCCTCCCTACAGTGTCTGTGGCCCTGGTGCCAGGCAGGGTGGGAGCTGAGCTTTCCCTGCCAGAGTGAGAGTGCTCCCCACCCCCAGCACCCGCGGGGCAGCACATTAATGAGATTAAGCCCTCGGAAGCAAACAGTTTCTCTCCCATGCAGACATGTTATAATTTCTCTGAGTAAATAACTCTAATTGCTGCTCCACCGCCCGTCAGAGCCCTGGCACAAAGACGCCCTCTGCTCTGCACGGTGCAGAGCCGTGTGCCAGCTCTGTGCACCACTGGGCATCACCCCCTGGCCCAGAGCCACCGGCCTGCTGTGGGACACAGAGACCCAGGCACCCTGCAGGARCCTGCACCCCACACCCTGCACCCTGCACCTCACAGACCTGTGCCCCATTCTCTGCACCCCACATTCTGTACCCTGTACCCCGCAGTCTGCACCCTGTACCTCACACCCTATACCCTGCACCTCATCTGGCCAGGACTGGACCACTGCTGGGCATGGAGGCTGCTGTGCCTGTGATCTGTGCCTGTCCCTCMGCCCTGGGATCTCTGACTTCTCTCTCCCTTGCAGTCCATCCGGCGCCTGATGGAAGCGGAGAAGGTGAAGGGCTTTTGTCAGGTGGTGATCTCCTCTAACCTGCGGGATGGCATGTCCCACCTCATACAGTCCAGTGGGCTGGGAGGGCTGCAGCATAACACAGTGCTGGTRGGCTGGCCCCGCAGCTGGCGCCAGAAGGAGGACCACCAGACCTGGAGGAACTTCATTGGTAGGCACTGTGGAGGGTGGGCGCTGCTGGGTTGGGGGGCTGCAAGCTGCCCTGGCTGACGTGGCCCTTCCCCTCCCAGAGCTGGTGCGAGAGACCACAGCTGGGCACCTGGCCTTGCTGGTGGCCAAGAATGTTGCCATGTTTCCGGGCAACCAGGAGCGGTTCTCGGAGGGCCACATCGATGTCTGGTGGATTGTCCATGATGGAGGGATGCTGATGYTGCTGCCCTTCCTCCTGCGGCAGCACAAGGTAAGCTGGGCCCTGCAGTGCAGGGCTGGGGCTGGGCCATTCCTGTCGAGCTGAGTCCAAGCCTCCTCCCTCCCTTGCAGGTGTGGCGTAAGTGCAAGATGCGCATCTTCACGGTGGCGCAGATGGATGACAACAGCATCCAGATGAAGAAGGACCTTACCACGTTCCTGTACCACCTGCGCATCACCGCAGAGGTGGAGGTGGTGGAGATGGTGAGGACTGGGATGGGGCACATGCTGCAGTCAGGGATGCTGTGCACGGGAGAGCCAGAGAGACCCTGACATGGGAGGGACACAGCACCATGAAGTGGACACAGCACCATGGGGACATGCTGGRCCATGCTGGGAGCAGTCGGTACAGCTTACCCTGATCCAAATTCCTCCTGTTCCCTCCACAGCATGAGAGTGACATCTCTGCCTACACCTATGAGAAGACACTGGTGATGGAGCAACGTTCCCAGATTCTCAAACAAATGCACCTCACCAAGAATGAGCGGGAGCGGGAGGTGAGGCTGCAGGACAGGCTGGGTGGGCTCTGACCCCTGTGTAGGCTCTGATGCCAACCGAGCTGCCCTGCAGCTGGGTGTACTTGTCCTGCTGGGGAGCTGGGCTTCAGGCTGGGCTCTGCTCAGGCAAGCCCTCCTTGTGCCCTACACTGGCTGACCCCTCCCACACAGATCCAGAGCATCACKGATGAGTCCCGTGGCTCCATCCGGCGCAAGAACCCGGCCAACACGCGCCTGCGCCTGAATGTCCCCGAGGAGCAGGCTGCTGATGGAGAGGAGAAGCCGGAGGAGGAGGTGAGGTGTTGTACCAAAACAGAGTCTGGCACGCAGTTGGCCCCAGCCCCTGCCTACCATTTCCCTCTTCTGTCTATAGGTCCAACTAATCCACGACAAGAATGCCACCACCTTCTCCAGCAGCTCCCARTCCCCTGGTGATGAGGTGGAGGCAGCCCCTGAGAAGGTGCATCTCACCTGGACCAAGGAGAAGTCTGTTGCTGARAAGAACAAGAGCAAGAGCCCTGTCAGCCCTGAGGGCATCAAGGACTTCTTCAACATGAAGCCGTAYGGCCCCCCATGCTGTCACCTTGTCCTGCCCATGCCCTGTGTCCCTGGCTGTCCCTGGCYGCCCCAGCCAGGCAGGYGCAGGCAGGGCCTCAGCAGCACCAGCTTGATCTTTGCCCTGAGGAGTGGTCAGGCAGCCTGGGTGCTCTGAGTGTGCCCCTGCGGAGGGGCTGGGAGGAAGAGGAGAGGGGTCCCTGTGCAGAACTGTCCTGGCAAGGGATGGGGTGCCCGGGCTGTGTGTGCTGCAGGGAGGGGGGGTGCACACCTGGTGTTCACCACTTGTCTCTCTCTCTCTCTCTCTCTTTCTCTTTGTGTCTCCGACCCCATCACGCTCCTGGCAGGGAGTGGGAGAACCTGTAAGTTTGGGTTTGGCTGGGTGCCGGGGCTGGGGCGGAGGGAGCTGGGTTGTGTTCATGGGGCAGCGTGATGGGAGCCATCAGGGCTGCCCCGTGCAGGAGGGCGGCTCAGTGAGCCGTGACAGCTGCAGTGCCAGACAGTTCACCCGGGCAGCGCACAGGGGCTGTGGCTGCCAGCCCTGTGCACCGTGCTCTGCCCGCACGGCACGCTCCTTGTCTGCCCTGTTATGCTGCCAGCAGCTCCCTGCAAGCCTGAGCTCAGGCACCCACCGTGCCACTTGTGCTGTCTCCACTCACTCCCACACGGCCTGGCCCTGGGCAGCCATGGTTGTGGGCACTGTGTGTGGCCCTGTGGCTCATGGCCACTGATGCAGGCTCAGARTCACCCACGCTGTGCCTGGTAAAGGATGCCAGTGTACCCTGTGGCCCTTTGGGCCTGGTGTGGGGCTGGAGGCTGACCATGCTCACAGGTGCTGTCACCCACAGGAACCAGTCCAACGTGCGGAGGATGCACACGGCTGTGAAGCTCAATGAGGTGATTGTGAAGAAGTCCCAGGACGCCAAGCTAGTCCTGTTGAACATGCCAGGGCCTCCCCGTAACCGGAAAGGGGATGAGAACTGTATCCTTTCTGTGGGGCCTGTTGTCAAGAGCCCTGTACTCTGGGGGAACCAGGGTCCATGTCTTCCCCAAAGCTGGGTGGTCTTTTAGGTGAGTGCTGAGAGGCACAGGTCTAGTTCCTGAGACTGGACCCCTCCCCACCTCCTGCTCCTGACTGGCTCCAGCAGCTGTCATTGGCACCAGCCTGTCCCTCCCACACAGGTTGGGTGTTGGGGCCACTTGACATTGCACCTGCACCCATGAGTGCAATGGCACATGACAGGGGCCTGGGTAGACATTTGTGGGGCTCAGCCATCTGCTGGCTCAGCCACCATCCCCATCAAACACCACCAGCATGGGTGGGCTCCCCTGCCCCCATGGCTTGGGACTGACCCCATAGAGCCCCTGGCTGTGGTGCTGGTGTGTCAGTGCTGTAGGCTCAGCTGGAGTTGGGCAGGGATGGTACAGCGCTGTCCCCATGTTCCAGTGTGGAGTTTGTCCTCCTTGACAGCTGTGCAGACATGGAGTTCCTGGAGGTGCTGACGGAGCATCTGGACCGAGTGCTCCTGGTGCGTGGTGGGGGCCGGGAGGTCATCACCATCTACTCCTGAAAGATGGCGCGAGAGAGGTTTGTCTGCACACTGAGAGCCCCGCCACCCCTTTGCACCGTGCTCCCGGAGGGGAGGAGGGAAGGCCGGATGGCAGCCGGTGCGCAGAACCTTCACCTGGCTTTGGCCGTGCCCCTGATCTCTCCATTCGAACTGCAGCACCAGATCTTCCGGGAGCATCCAGCACCAGAGCAGCTGTTCCTCATTGCAACACCRCAGCACTGCTGTCCTTGTTTATATATAAATATATACAGTGAACCGCGGACTGAGCACCAGAGCTCCGCGCTGCCGCCACCGCCCGCCCTGGCAGGGCCAGCCCCGCCGCCAGCCCCAGCACTGCCGCTGCAGCCCCTGGCCGGGCAGGAGGGCGGCTGTGCCGAGACGGACCTTGGCCCCACCGTGCTGCTACTCCTGCACAGACTCGGCTGGATGCGCCCGTGCCCCGTGCCCCGTGCCCTGTGCCCCGCCGTGCCTCCCTGCGGGCGCTGGCAGAAGAGAGAGCCCCCTCACGCTCCCCTCTCCGGACGCTCCTCTCCCCGCCTCCAGCAGCGCCCGGGGCTGCCTCGCACAGCGCCGAACCCCCGCTGCCCCTCACCGCCACGGGCCTGGACAGCCCCACCTCGCCGCTGCCTCGGCACCGTCGTTTCTGGAGGGCTGAGCTTGTGGAGATGCAGCACGCTGGTTTGGAGGGGGCAGAGGGTGGCGGGCGGTTGTGAGGGGACAGGTGCTGGAGCATAGCTAGGCYGTGAGAGCGGGAGCCCTGACCTGGCGTGGCTGGGGGTGCTCCCTGTCCCCCCGGCTGACTCCAGGCTCTCTTTTCCCCGAGGCTTTCCGGGTGTTTGCGCAGMAGTCGCGGTGTGGAGCTGCGGTGTCGGGGGCCGCGCAGAGGCCCTGCCTGTACAGCGTGAGCCGGGGCCTCTCTCCGGCCGCTGGAGCCGCGCGGGTGCTGGGGACCCCGAAGGCTCCAGGGCCTGCTCTTGGCCTGGCACAGGGGTGTCCCGGACCCCCACTCTGCTCCCCCGCCGCATTGCACTGGGGGCTCTCAGGGCCCAGCACCAGCCAGCCCGGCTGGCCCAGCACCTGCACATGTGTCTGGGTCCCCCTTGCCCGCTGCACTCCCTGCTGCTCCCCAGGGCTTCGCTGCTAACCCAGCCCTGGCCCCGGCCCCAGGCAGTCGCAGAKGCTGCTGGGGGCTGTAGGACAGTCTGGATCTGTGTGTATTTTTAACATATGCAAAGGCTGTTTGCTGATCTGACCAGCAAGACCTCACAGTGAGGTGGGGGCTGTAGGGGTCCCACCGCCCCCCAACATCATGAAACTCTCTCACCCGGCTGGCCAGGGCAGCCAGGCCACAGCCGTCAGCCCCCGCACGGGCAGCAGAGCCCTCCGGGGCAAATCAAACACCTCTTGGCAACAGCTGCAGGGTCGCCCCCATCGCCGTCCCCCCGTCTCCCCCTTCCCCCCAGCATCTCTCACAGAAGAGAAACTGAGGCGCTTTTAACAAATGTGAACGGTTCCAGGAACCACGCAGGAAGCGGTGCGAGGGCAGCAGGGTGCCGCTGGCGCCCACCCCAGCCCCATGTACATAGTGTACATAATACAGTACGTGTATTTTTAAAGTGATCATATTTATGTTAATAGAACCAGATGAAGTCTATATATAGAGATCTATATCTATTCTGAGAGATGCAGGGCTCTGCTAGCACCAGGCCGCAGGGACGGGGAGCTGAGCCGGGCTGCTCCTGCACAAACCAGGAGCCCATCCATTGCACCGAGTGCTCCAGAATGGTGGTGGAGGCTGCAGCCTTCCCCGGCCACCAGCAGCCCCTGGGAAAGGGCCAGGTCGCAGGTTCATTCTCTTCTCAATTTAGCTTCTTAAGAGTTTTCAGGGAAAAGAAGTCACAGACTTTTCTGAATTTGTTTCACAGCAGATTTGAGCTTCCACTCAAAGTGCAGCCTGCTAAGAGTTGCCCTCTCCCGGCAGCGCTGGCGGCTTTGTGCCAGCCTGAGCCCTGGGCAGCGCTTTGTCCCTGGCCAGAGCTGAGCCCCTGTGCTGAAGCACTCACCTCCTCAACCCCTCCAGACACTCTCTCCAGTGCTGCCTTGTACTGCAGCAGGTGCAGAGGGAGCAAGTGCTGCTACAGCATCCCTGAGGGTGTCCATCCAGGCAGCAGCTGCCTCCTGCCTGGCACGGGCAGCCCTGACTGGTCCCAGCTCCCTGCCCACCTGACTCCCTGCTGACCTTGGCTCCTGCCTTCCTGAGAAAAGGAATACCCCCCTGTRCTGGCCACTCCAGCCCCTGCTCCCTCTGCAGAGCTCCTCTACTCCAGGTCCAGGCCAAAGCTATTTGGGGGTGCTTGGATAAAAAGCAGTGGGTTTTTTGATGTTGGATTTTTTTTTTGGCTTTAAGGTATACTTGGACACACTCCTAGACCAAAACCAAGCCCCAGCTGCACATCTGTGCCTGCTCATACCTTGCTCCTACATTTCCATCACTCCCGAAGTGCCTCCCTTCTCTCCAGGAGCAGTCCCAGTCACAGCCAGAGTTTCTGCCAGGGTAGCACGGCTGCCTATGTCGCTGCAGGTCCGTGTCACAGACGTTGCTGTGGAAGCTGGTCCCATAGGCRTAGTGAGCTCAGTGTTTACAGGGGGACTGTCAGGCTGAGCTGAGACCTGGATTCAGCACAAGAGCTCAGGGCTGGTGAATGGTGCAGCACTCTCCAGTCCTGCCAACAGCCTGTGAGCTCTGGGAAGAGCAGGTAGAGGTCTGCAAGTGTAAAGTTCTTTAGTTTTGGGAAGGGTAGCCCATGGGAACCAGGATTTGCCAGGGGCTAGCTACTCTGCCCCTTGGAGCTGGCCCTGTATCACCACACACAAGCTCACGTGCTGTTTCCAGCCTCCCAAAATTATTTCAAGCACTATGGCAGCAGCGGGGGAGGCACAGCAGCCTACCCACACAGCTCATGTGTTAGCACCGTGTTGTCGGGCCTCGAGTGCTTGCCAGCTCCTCTTCACAAGATGCCACTTGCTCCCTGCAGTCGTTCTCTAATTGCAGCTTGACTGCTGCCCCCTGTGCTGGTGGGCCTGAGGCAGTGAGAATGGTCCCCTCCTGCCCTGGCACACGGTGCAGGGCAGAAGGCAGAGGCAGGTTTTGCACAGCCGAGGCCACACACAGCACCCACCCTCGCAGCGGCAGRTGAGAGGCTCCTGTGTTGGCTGCAGGTACAGGGCAGCCAGGAATGACGTTTGCAGAACAGCGGTGAGAACAAACAGGGCACACTTCTGACAGGTTTGCTTCACCCCCTCAGCATCACCAGTGAATCCCATTCCCCTCAGCACCAACTCCACCCTGACGGCAAAGCCATGGTCCCAGCTCCCCCAGGGAGCAGGAAGGCCAGTCCTTTCCATCACTGCTGCTGAAAAAAGGCGTTCCCCTTCCCCATCTTCCAGCAAGAGCAGGGGCACAGCTCTGGACAGAGTCAGGGCTGATCTCACACCCCTGCCAGGCAGTTTGGCTGTGGCAAGACAGGAGCTGGTTTCCACAGCACCTCCATCGCCATCGGCTGGAGAGGGCCAGTTTTAGCAGACAGCACTGCATGTTAGTTTACAAACCCAGCCCTGCACGTTTGGCCTCTGTGAGTGTTCAGTTTCCCCATGGAGCACCCTTCTGCCCCTCCACCGTGGTGAAGACAGTGTCCTCCTCTGGTAGACATGCAAGTTCCTCCTTGGCACATGCGCAGACACGGTCCGGTTTTTGTTCCAGACAGGAAGGTCTTGACCCCCCAGTTTGTTTTACAGGCAGGCTGCTGCTGGAGCAGCACGACCCACGGGAGGGTGGGCTGGAGTGTGGCCACAGCAGGCAAGAAGTGTTCGGCCAGTGCACAGTGCTGGTGGCACATGCTCCAGTCCCTGCTGAGGGAGGGCCAAGCAGCCCTGGCCTCTCAGAGTGGCAGTGGGCAGCTCAGGTCACTGTGGAGGGCAGCTCAGATCGCTGTGGCCACCACACAGCACAGGCAGCAAGCCACAGGGCAGCAGAGACCAGAGGCACAGGCAGCGTCCAGCCTGGGCAGATGCGGGTCCGTGGCTGGACGAGAGGAAGGACAAGAGACCGCACAAGGGCAAGAGTTGCACTAGAAGAGTCAAGACCCTCCTCTGTGTAGCAGGACTAAAAACTAGCAGAAAGACCGAAAGGTCTGAGATTTGCTGGTTACAACACTTTCTGTGCTACATGTGCAATATTTGTTATGAATGTTATCACAAAGTCGGTTCATTCAATACTCTTTTAATCACTGTAGCTAGATGTTCTCTGTCCATTCAAGTGACTTTTATTCGAGTGCAATATTTCAATAGACATGTAGTGACCTAGAATGCTTTGTGTTTTAGAGAATCTGTGTGCAGAACAATGCAATTAAGTTTAAAACCTTGTAAATAAAACAGGTTGCAAACCAAAAAAAAAAAAACCCTATTAGGCTTGCATTTAATTTCTGTGCGTGTTTCAGTGTTGTGCATTAGGCCGCCTTGGTGCAGACCCCGTGTTCTCTGTGCAGGTGTTCATGGAGGAGTGGCTCCTCGGCTGTTGAATGCTCCCTGTTAATGCTTTACTGCTTTACCTGTATTCATTTTTCTAGACTCCTGTCTGCACAAAATGCAATAAATGATTTTATTACACCCTTCACTACTTGCACGGGGGCTTTTCACTTGCTTCCAGGTCTCCACAGCTATTTTGCACCATTTCCATAACATGGAGCAAACCCTGATAGGGTGCAGATTGCAGAGSACACAAAGCACAAGGAGAGGAACAGCCTCCAAAGGGATGTGGTTSCCACATTCTACCTCACAAAGATTTCTGGTCATTCCAGCAAAGGTGTTTTAGGTGGCTGCACCGTTGTAGAGGAGGAGAAAGGGATCTAACAGGAGGMTCTAGCAGACAGACACACTGCCGTCCAGACTCGGTCTGTGTGATGGCAGCATGAAGTCATGGGATGCCAGTGCTGAAGGCACAGGGCCTTGCAGCCGTGACCTCACGATGGCCACAGCACCAACCCAGACCTGCCCCTCCTATCACCCGTCACCAGAAAGGTTTTAGACCTCTCACACAAGCCCTGCCACATCTGCCGGCCTGAGAAAACCCCCATGCCATGCGAGTCAGAACCTGTGAGGTCCCTCAGACCAAGATGAGACAGTGCTTGCAGTGAGGTCCACACACATTCTGCTCAACACCCAGCACGGAATTTCCAGCATAGCTCATCCASAAGAGGAGAGCAACAGCAGACACAGCAGAGTAACATTCTGGGAGCACTCAAGGGTCAAAATGCAGCAAGTAATTTTTCTGGTCTTTTATTAGAAAGTAATGTCCTCTTGTTAACAGCACAGAGAAAAAAGAAATGCTACAACACAAACCACCTGGGACAAAGAAAATCCTCTGCTTCAAT